TTTGTAAAATTTGATCGAGATATGGAGTCTCCCTTGAATGTTCTAGTACAAAAGAGAGCTCAAAGAGGCTGAAGTTTAAGGAAAATAGTCTATCTCTATTGAGGCTCGAGTAGAAAAAGGAAAAGGACGATTTGCCGCTAGACACCTAGTATAGTTAACTTTAGATTGACTAATGACATCTCGATTTTCAAAGAGACCACCCTATATATGCCAAGAAAATATTATACTTTCCACGTCCCATAAAGATAAGCTTTGTTTCTATTTTCATACTGATTAAGAAAATATAATTAATATAGTTGGAAGTATAAGGATGTGTTTGTCAAGCCTTTTTCAATTTTGCAAAACACTGATATGTTTTAAAATAAAAAAAATAAATTAAGAAAATAAAATGGATAAATTTTAAAAAATAAAAAATGGATTCAAAACTCAAAATTAAAAACCGAAATACAAACCAATTTCTCACATTTTTTTTAAATGTTGTATATGATGTTGACTCTGGGTTTTAGCATACTGCTGTATTATTATACAGTTCCTAATTTTTTTTTGTCTTTTTTCTTACCATTTGCAACTCCGATTGCGGACTATTTGTGATAAAGTACTCCGAGTATATTATAAACGGGAAAATTGATGCTATGGCAGAGAGTCTTGATCCGATCATATCAAGAAATAACTTCGGTTGCCAACTATATAAACATGGTTGCGAGAAGATTATTGAAGCCTCAGATACAGATTTTGACCTTGTGCCGCGCAGTGTCAGGCGTGACAGGAAGATGAAGGGTGTGGTTATTTGAATATTGCATTTTGAGAATCTAGATGTTCTCTTGGACATTTAAATCGAATAACATTGTAATAAAGTACACGTCACATCTTGAAATCACTGAATACATCTCTTATAAACTGTGAATATTGAAACCATATGCTTGGAATATGAATCTTGATTCTGGAAAAAAAATATATTTCGAATTCAAATAGTTTTCGCAGCACACTCGTCGTATCGTGAATCTTAAATCGGCCAAAGATATGAAACATTACCTTAATACAAAAACTAGTAAATGAATGTTACGTTTTTGCACCAGGAAGAAATCCTTGATTGATAGATTCAGTAGAAAGGAAAGAAAAAGGATGATTATCCCACAACTTGATATATGATTTCCCCAATTTGAATTATTTAACGGATTTGAAAGCACATTGAGTGTTCAGTGTTGACCCAGGAAAAAAAAAATGACGCTTACGTGGACAACAGGGGTGCCGAGCCCACTCACACCTAATCAATCAAATTCAGGTGTGTTTCGACCAGAGCACCGATAAGAAACGAGATGAATGTGAACACGTGAAATGTTGGAAATCATATCGTGGAGAGCTGAAATGCTTGAAGAATATGGAAGCTTCTGGAGTTGCTGGAATGAGGGTGGTGCTCCCATTTATGTACACCAAGCAAAGTCCTTTGAATATTGCAGTTTGAGAATCTAGATGTTCTCTTGGACATTTAAATCGAATAACATTGTAATAAAGTCCACGTCACATCATGAAATCACTGAATACATCTCATATAAACTGTGAATATTGAAACCATATGCTTGGAATATGAATCTTGATTCTGGAAAAAAATATTGGAATGTTACGTTTTTGTACCAGGAAGAAATCCTTGATTGATAGATACAGTAGAAAGCAAAGAAAAAGGATGATTATCCCACAACTTGATATATGATTTCCCCAATTTGAATTATGTGACGTATTTGAAAGCACATCGAATGTTCAGCGTTGACCCAGGAAAAAAATGACGGTTACGTGAACAACAGGTGCCAAGCCTACTCACACCTAATCAAGCAAATTTTGGTGCGTTTCGACCGGAGCACCGGTAAGAAACGAGATGAATGTGAACACCGGAGATGCTTCAGACGTGAGACAAAAGTGTTCAAACACCGACGGGTGGAACAAAGATGATTGTGCTAACAACAATCATCAATTGAATACCAAAGTAAACCAATAAAAAGATCAAACTAATGTACATAGAAAAAAACAAAACGATATGTATAGAGTTTGCAAGATCATTTGTATTACCAAGGATCAAGAGTTCAAGAGTCCAACCATTTTTCAGTTACAAGGAGGGCCTAATTATAGTATTTCGGCCGACGTGGTGTCTGTTGGATCAGAATTATGGAGGAGAAAAGGTTAAAAAATAGAATGTCAAATCTGTTATCAATTATTCTTGGCAGCAATGTTTGGCATTTAAACTTGC